TTCTTCTTCATTAGACTGAGTTGCACATTCTCCTTTGGAATACTCCACAGGGAGATGGTGTCCTCATGATACCACCTCTGTGGGTATGTGGTATCCATCTTTGGACCCGCCTCATCACGGCGGTAATTTTGTTCATCTAGTTCGGGTCTTGCCTGATTTCTCCACTGAATAATGACTCTTTTCTCCCTTGCAAATAATGAGCGGTTTTAGGATATACTGTAAGATCATGAAAATATCCTGCTTCTCACCAAAATGTTGCCTAATTGAATTAGTAAAAAAGAAAAAAAATCCTTTTTTACTAATTGAATTGAAATATTAGAGCACTCTTATGACTAGTAACTTCACAATCCACAAATACATGGTGGCGGTTATGTGCTGTGGAGTCAGTTCTGACTCATAGTGACCCTGTACAGGGTTTCCGAGGCTGTAAATCTTTACAGGAGCAGAAAGCCTCATCTTTCTCCTGTGGAACAGCTGGTAGTTTCAAACTGCAGACCTTGGGGTTAGCAGCCCCCCTCATAACCACTATGCTACCAGAAATTCACAAAGAGATTTAATCATGCCATCGGTTAGAAAAATGAGTGTTGGTAATGATGGTGAGTTCAAAAATACTCTTGGAAAGAACAACGACTAATTTGTGTCTTTTTTGGCCATATCTCCTTACTTGTCAAGTGTGTGGATTTTGGCAGTTAAATAGTTGAGTCACAGTGTGTGTTGTGTTAAAGACTATTCTGCTTATCATGTGACTAAAGGCTTTTGTGGCCTACAGGAGAAATCTCATATGTAGCTTTTGTCATGTTTTTATTTTGTTCTGATTTTGCACAGTAGCTTGATAACTAAAGGTTTGCTGAAGGAAATGACTCATGGAGATGAAAACATGAAATCTTTGTGAAAGCCATAGTTTTTCCAAGTGGATTGAATTGGATGGGACTTCTACTGTCGATGGCCAGATCAAGCTAGGAGAGACTGTTGTCAGTAAAGTACTCCTTTACTGCCTCATGCCTTCTCCCTTCCTTGTTGTAACGTTTCCCATGTTCTGTTTTTAAAATTCCTGTCCCTTTTCCATTTGCCCCATTTCTCAGATTTGTAGTAGCAAGTTTAGGGAAACTATAGACAGCTAACAATTTTCCCTAAAATTTGTTTTCTCTAATTCAGCAGTGGCTGAAAGGCAATCATGTACTTGAGTTTTTAATCCTAGAATGTCTCAAGGATAGGAATATGTTCAGTGAGTACTTGTTGAAGAAAGTAAGAATTATTAGGTTACAAAGGAAGAGTACAAAGGCTTCTGTCAATAAAGTACTTACCTTTGCTGTGCAGATGTTTGTGTAATACCTTCTCTGTGTATCCAGAAGCATTTTCTAGTTCTTTCTTGGTGTTGAGTCATAATTATCACTATTCCAAGACAGTGTTAAACACCAACCCTGCTTAATTGGTAGTTATGCTGTAGAGAGCTGGGGATTTATTTCTATTCCACTTGAAATGCTGTAAAACTGAGATTAGTCATTTAGGAAACAAATATTTAGAACTTACTATCTAATTTTATATGACTTTAAACACTTCCTATGCACAAAGCATTATTCTAAGCATTTAATAATATTTATTTTAATACTGTAACATCCCTATGGAAGCCGTGTCATTATCCTTATCTGTCAGATGGGAAAATAGGGGCAAAAGTCTGGATAGTTGCAGGCTAATCTTTTTAGTGTCACATGCTGACTGTAGGAGAAAGGATAGAGGGATACAAATATGCTTTCATGTCTGCATATGAAGCATAAACTGACTTAATTACACTAAGTCGTGATTACAAGTGCTACACCCTGTGATTCTGTGATGGAGGGTAGTTATCAGTGTGCATTCGCTTAAGTCAGAGTTGTACCTAATATGGGTGAATAAAAGAAAACTGATGTGGAATAAGATGGTGAAGTCAGGGGATGTTCATAATCAGTTCTGTGTCTTACAAGGAAGTCCTGCTGGCACGGTGGTTAAGTGCTCAGCTGTTGACTTGTCTGGTTGGTGCTTTGAATCTACCAAGCAGTTCCACAAGAGAGGTGTGAGGATCCGCTCCCATAAAGAGCACCCCAAGAAAACGCCAAGGGACAGTTCTGGTCTGGCACAAGGTGTCTCGATGAATCAAAATGGACTCAACAGCACCTAACTTCCCTGCTTTAGGGTAAGGTCTGGACTGCTAACCACAAGGCTGGCAGTTCAAACCCACCAGCTGATCCTCAGAAACCCTATACAGGGCCCAAACCGACTCTATGGCACTTCACAACAGCCAGATACAAGCCACTGAACCCTTGGAAACCAGCTTCCTTATCTAGAAGAGAGAATTGGCAGATTAAAGTTGCTTCCAGCTCGAAATTGTTAACATTTATGGTTACATGTTTTATTCATAGGCCTCTCATTTAAAATACATTTAAGCAGATGAATGGCTACAACAGTAGGAAAATGTAGATTTTTTTCCCCAAAATTCTTTTTTATGCAAAAGGCTAAAGCAGACCCTGTTCCCCCCAAAATTGTCATTGTCAGCCCCGCCATGTTGTTAGTGGTGAGCAGCAATAAAGACGAAAGAGGTAAAGAAAGTTTAGGGCCCCCAGTATGCTGCAGCCCCAGGTCATTCTTACATGATGTGGTCCTGTCATTGATATTCCCGTTGGAGTCCTGGTGTGGTGCTCTAGGATAAGCACTGGATCTCAGTATTGGTTTGAACTGCAAGGTCAGCCGTTCAAACTCACCAGCTGTTCCTTGGAAACCCTGTACAGGGCTGCTGTGAGTCAGACTTGACTCGACAGCACCTATTAACAACAACAATCGATAAATGGGGTTGTGGTGTGGTGCTGTAGGATAAGTACTTGACTGGTAACCTCCAGTTCAGCGGTGCAAACCCTACCAGCTGCTTCTCAGAAACCCTACTATGTTGTTGTGTGCTGTCTAGTCAGTTCCAACTCATTGCAATCCTGTATAGGGTTTCTAAGAGTAGTTAGTGGGTTTGAGCTGCCAAACTTGTGGTTACCAGTACAGTGCTTATCCTACAGTGCCACACCAGAGCTCTGGAAAGCCTATACAGGCTTGCTATGAGTCAGAACAAACTCAAGGACACTTAACAACAACAGCACTCGTATAATATAACTGCTTCACTGTTACTTAGTAGAGTTTTTCCATTTCAGAATTGATCAAATGACCCTGAAACTTGAGAACACATTAAACCATATTTAATACATTGCATGTAAAGTACATGTTTTGGAAAGCTTCTCTGCAAGATAATTATTAACATGGTTTTGGTTACAATTTACTAGCTGCTTCATTATGTTAAACACACCTATTTCCTAACAAATACCAAATAAACAGGACATGATCTCACTTAAATCTCTCCCCAGAGATTAATTCAAGCCTCTTACAACAAATTTTGCTCAGGTGCTGTTTAGTTGGTTCCGACTCATGGTGACCCTGTAGAGGGTTTCCAAGGAGAGCGTGGTGAGTGTGGTTCAGACCGACATCTTGGTTCACTTATTGCTTATTCTGCAGCGCCACATCAGGACTTCACAAACAATCTTGTTGTTGTTAGGTGCCATCAAGCCTTTTCTGACTCGTAACAATCCTGAATAGGGTTTCCGAGGAGCAGCTGGTAGGTTTGAATCGCCAACCTTTCGGCTGCGCTCCAGTGCTGATCCTACTGTGCTGCACCAGAAGTCTGCAACAAATGTTACTGCAGTGAAACTTTAAAAGTAATCTAATCAGCCACTGTTGAACCCTGTGTCCTTGGGAATCTATTTTCTGTTGTATAAAATGGGGGTTATTTAGGATCAGCACTGGACTGTGAGCCACAAGGTCTGCAGTTCAAACCCAGCAGCCGCTCCTCAGAAACCCTTTTAAGGGTTGCTGTGAGTTGGAACTGACTCAACGGAGCCCTGGTAGCGTAGTGGTTATGAATCGGGCTGCATAGTGGTTACAAATCGGGCTGCGAATCTTAAGGTCAGCAGTTCGAAACTACCAGCGGCTCCGCCGGAGAAAGATGAGGCTTTCTGCTCCCGTAAAGATTTACAGCCTCAGAAACCCTGTACAGGGTCGCTATGGGTCGGAACCGACTCGATGGCACTTAACAACAACAACAATGGCACTTACAACAATAACATCATGACTTGTTGATAATCACATATAAGAAAGTTCTGAGAATCATTAATTTATAAAAGTAGTGATTATGGTTGTGCTAACATTTTTCTTAAGCCAACCAAAAGTCCAGCGAATAGGTCGGAAAATTAGAGGCAGAATTTAGGAAGCTATACCTTGAGGATTTGTCATGGAATGCAGTGTTCTGAGGACTTATGGACTTGTGGCATGCATGTGTAGCTAGTGTAAGGCCACAGAAAACAATCAGCTAGTGTCAGGGTCCTGAAATAAAATCCTTTTTGTTTAACCAATCCATTGTTGAGGTTTATCTAAAAAGTAAGAGGTATTTAGTAAAGTCACTGTAATTTATATGAAATAAGAATAATATCTGATCTGTTTTACAATGGCAGTCAAAATAAAGACTATAACAAGGGGTGGATAAGACCTGTTACAAGAATTGTGATGCTTTGCTGAAGGGTAGAAAGGGTGTGAATGATGAAGTGGACTAACCCAGATGGGGAGACTTGATGAAAGTAGATTCTTCTCAAATTCAAGCAGACATATCTACATACAGAGTTTGACATGTCACTTCAAATTCGTTGATAAAGTGTTTTTTTGTGTGTGTTTTTTATCCTAAGGTGATACCTATTTTAAAAAATGACCACATTCTCAAAAATCATCATTTTGTAATGAAAGACTAAGTTTTTGTATAAACAAAATATATATAAAATCATGGCTATAAGGTATATTTTCTTAAAGCAGATTGATCCTACCAGTAGCGAACCTCATTTCCTAAAAGGGGCCCAAATGGCATGTTGGTGCTAGAAGATTACATAGAGCTATTCTCCTTTATAAATGCTTATTACTCTAACTTCCGTTGTTTCTTTTTTCAGTCAGGTCAGTTCAGTGAAGATATGATACCCACAGTGGGCTTCAACATGAGGAAAGTAACTAAAGGTAACGTCACAATAAAGGTACGTTAGCCACTTGCCATTAAATGAATTAGCATATAGAGTTATAGGTTTTCCTGCTTTCTTTTCTTTTTTTAACTTGAGTGTTTATAATTCTGGACTAATAAATAGTTGTGTTCCAAAAAGAGCCTTCTCTGATATTTCAAACTGTAAATACTGAAATGTTATAACTAGCCCATAAGAAAACTTAGGTTATAGATAGGCAAAAGCAATTTATTTATTTTTTATTTAGATGTTCTTGTTATTCTTGTTGCTGAGTGCCATCGAATTGGTTCTGACCCATAGGACCCTCTGTAGGGTTTCCAAGGAGCAGCTGGGGGGTGGGAAATAAAAATCCCAACTTCAGGGTGTTAGTATATTATTAGTATTTGGGAGCCCTGGCATGGCACTGTAGAATTAGCACTGGACTGTTAACCACAAGGTTGGCAGTTCAAACCCTCCACCTGCTCCTTGGAATCCCTATACAGGGTTGCTATGAGTCAGAACTGACTCAACAGCACTTAACAACAATAATAATTATTTCATGAGCAGTATTGTATAGTAAAAAGGTAATTTGTTTCTAATATTGGTAATTTAATGTTAATTAAATTTCTGGCAGCAAATACCATAACCCAGTTCTTCCCTTATTTAGTACTAAGTTGTAAATTAGCACTATAAAATTGGAAAATGTAACTAGTTGTTAAAATGTTCTTTTTAGAGTGAGCTTAAGAGATTTGGAGTTCAAATATTGACCTTTTATTGGGGGGCCCCACGGTAGTGGTTTGTTATTTTTGTTCTTCAGTGGGTATAGGGAGTTTACTTCTCTGTCCAGAGACCTCATGGTTCATTGTACCCAATTTTCTTGTCTCACAGAAACTATTCATTAAACACTGTCTGTGGCTGGTATAATATAGCTCCTCCTTTATTCATTTGCGTATCTCTTTATGCATGTAACTTATATCAGTATCTAAGTTGGGAGCCTTGTGAAGAGAAAAACAGTGCAGTAAGCCTTTTTTTGTACCTAATGCCCAGCATGCTGCCCTACAGAGCAGGCATGATAATAAATTAGTAATGGCTTTCACATGAATGAAATACTTTTATAAACACCTAAGTAGGACCACACAGAAACTCCGATATTAATGTATATATACCCAGTCAAATGTTCATTGCTTCTGAATTAACTATCGTCTTCTGTTTGAAGCATTCAAATCTGAATAATACATGGGTCTGCAGATATAAAAAGTGTTATCTTGAGGATAAATGTTTTCAGTAGTAGAAATGTAATGGTTAAATTTAGGCAAAGAAAGTATCCACAGAAGCCACATTTCTATTCAAGCACAATTTTAGATGTCATGCCAGGCGTATTAATAGGGGCTTCGATTTTTGAAGTGGTTCTAAGTGCTCCCAGATTAAGAGCTCCTGTTTGCAGCTCAAGTCTGTCAGGAGCACTTTGGCTCCAGCATTGTGGAAATAGGCATTTCTGCTTGATCTTTTCTCCTTTCTGCGAATCCCTCTTTCACTGTATTGTTTCAAACGTTCTTTATTAAGAATTGTCTTGTGTTGGTTTAAAGATCTGGGACATAGGCGGGCAACCTCGATTCCGGAGCATGTGGGAACGTTACTGCAGAGGAGTCAACGCGATCGTGTGAGTGTCTTTTCACAGTCAGTGTAGGCTTCAATCAAAACGAGGTTGTTATAAAGAATTTAAAATCTGTCATCTTAGTTGTGATTATCAGGCATGTGAAGAAGAGACATTCAGATCACTTGGGGTTTTTTGTTTTTTTTGTTTTTAAGTTACATGATAGATGCTGCAGATCGTGAAAAGATAGAACCTTCTCGAAATGAACTACATAATCTTCTAGATAAACCACAGTTACAAGGAATTCCAGTAAGTATGGAGAACTTGGTTTTTAAAAAAATATTTATGAATATTAGATTTTGTGTTTGACATTAGTAAAATGTCTTGTTTTAAAATTTAGAATGCTTATGTTTATTGTGTGTCTTTCATAATAGTAGACACTGTCCAGAGCAGCAGTCACATTTCCCACCTTCAATAAGAAAGGCAGGTGCTATGGCATAGGATCTGCCCCTGAGAGGACCATGGGGCTGAGAGCTATAAATTAGAGAGGAGATTTGAACTAGGTTGGTCAAGAAGGAAGGATCCCCAGAAGAAGTGAAATGTGAGCTGAGATTGGAAGGTTCTGGGAGTTAGATTGGTGGTGTTTGGATGGGAGGAAAGTTCAGACAAGGGCCCATTGGTGTAAGGCTGCAAGAGGAGGGAGGTGGGCGTGAAGCAAACGCAGGGCGAAGCATGGTGTTCCATGCCACCAGGATATGGAGGAGACTACACTGCACAGGACTTTGTGGGAAACTCTTAAAGTGTTTTAAATAATCAGATTAGTGATTTGACTAGAGGTGGGTAAGACTGTATGGAGGATAGTTTAGGAAGCTGTTGTTCCTGTCCTGGAAAATTATGGAACCTTGAAATAGGATGTTAGTAGACGAAATGAGACAGAATCAGATAATGGAGACATTTAGGAACACAATCTGTCATTCTTGGTGGTAGATTAGAGAAGGAGAGAGTAAAGAATTTCTAGTTGCTTACTTAGGCAGTTGGATAGAGGGTAATGTTTTGTTGAGCTGAGAAGGCTGGAAATAGCAGCCTTTAGCTTCAAGATAAATTCTTGAGTGTCTATTGATCCTCAGAACACATTTGGGTTGGTGGTGTTACCTCCCCTATATAACAGTTAGGATTCGTTAGAGATCCCAAGATCATTAATAAATTGCCCAGTCAGGCATTGAACATGTCTGTCTGACTTCTAAGACTTTTTTTTTTTTTTTTGATATGTAAACATTCTAAGGATGTTCTTTTTAAGGAAGTATGCCTATTTTACAAAATATCAAGTTTTTTTTTTTTTTTTTTGTAACATGAACAAACTGTCAATATAAAGCACAAATAAAAATTAGTCTTATCTTAGTCATCATTTAGGTTCTTAGTTGCAAACAGTAGGAAGTTGATTTAAGCAGAAAATAATTCATTGAAATACTATTTATTGGGTAGCTTGCAGCATCTTTAGGAAGATTGCACAACCAGGCTCAAAAAATAGCCAGAACGAGGGAGTCCACACTTAAATTCTACTCAGTGAATCTGGTGCTTACGCACAGTTGAAGAGACACCCTTATTCTACTTGGAGATGAGCTAGCTGATTCTCCACTATCAGAATGACTTCTGACAGTGCATCACTGCTTTTACATTCACAGTATTGTTGATTATATCTGATTGATGGGCCTAGATTCCGTATCTGTGCTACAGTTATCTATTGGGGGGCAGGTTTATAAAGTTTAAATATAAGGAAAGTGCTAAGATGCCAGACAGTCATAAAACCAACAGCTGATCACAAATGACCATAATGTAGTATTTGGAAGTCAGCCAGTTAGTTACAGATTGAGAATTTGGCTTGACTTAAGAGCAGAAAGGAGTAAGAAGCTAGGAAGGGAAAACTAGTTGTCCAAGGGTATTGAAATTCCATTCTTGGCCCTCCCACTCCTTTATCATGTTTATTGTTCTCTGTGATGATCCCCCAGTGCCCTGGCTCTCTGTTTCCTGTGCCTGTGCCTTGGCTCCTTTTTGTGTAAATTAAGAGTCTAGGCCTACGTGTAAGATTGGTTCAGGTGTTTGGTGGAGGTATATTGACTGAAAGAAATGGGTGTGGCAAGGTAGACACCATGGGTACTTTGGACTGATCAAAGATAAAAATTCTTCGAAAACACTGATTTAACATGTGGATGCTATCAGATAAGTCTTATGTATTCATGTTCTTTGCTTTCTGTGTGTAAGGCCATAAGGACATTATCTGGGAAAGACAGCAGAATGGAAATTGGGAAGGTCACCTTTCTCTGCTCTCTTTTCAGCATTCGTGTAGCAATTAAATAATAACACTTGACCTCACAGTATATGCCTACAGTATTCACCTGATGACCAAATTTACCCATCATCTTAGAATATTTATAAATGATACTCTGTAGAATCTGTCTTGGATTTTAACAGTGTATTTATGTTAAAAATGTGATGACTTACAGTCTATTAAAAATGTTACTATCTTTGGTTCTAAGATTCCATTCATATATTGGTAAAGATTTATTAAGAAATAGCAGGATACATAGCATATACTTAGAGCAGCTGCAAATTGAATTAAACAGGCCTGTACATGGTAGGAGTTAAGGAAATACTGTTTTGAATGATTAAGTTAATCTGACAAGCCACCAGCTGTAAAAATCTGCTTTAGTATTATGTCGGGTGGTTTTAATATATGTTGATATCAGGGTGATATTGGTTTTTTGATAGTTTGTTAAAATAGTTTTCTTACATAAAAGTTAACTCTTTAATGCTTTTTTTTTTTTTTTAAAAATAAGGTACTAGTACTTGGAAACAAGAGAGACCTTCCTAATGCCTTGGATGAGAAACAGCTCATTGAGAAAATGTATGTATTAAGAATGTATGATAGAATTTTTTTTACAGTTGATTCTAAATAAAACTGTTGACTATATAAATTGTTTAGTGCCATTGCATTATTTATTAGTAATTATAGCCATGTTTTTAGGTAGATAAAGCCAGACAAGTTGTTGTTAAATGACTTCAAGTTGTATTATATAGGGTTTCTGAGGAGTGGCTGTTGGGTTTGAACTGCCATACTTTCAGTTAGCAGTCTAGTGCTTATCCTACAGTGCCACACCAGAACTCCATCAGAGACGTGAATACCTAGACTTTAGTAGATTAAAATAATTTCATTTACCAGTAAAATTGGCTTAAGTAAAACTAAGCATGAACTTACTCTCTTAACTCTTACAGGAATCTGTCTGCTATTCAGGATAGAGAAATTTGCTGCTATTCAATTTCTTGCAAAGAAAAGGATAATATAGGTAAGTAATGGCTGGTGTTTTGGGGAAAAAGGAATATCATTGGAAGGAATATCTAAGTGTTATGCTGTGCTTTTAAAATATTTTATTGTGATTTAGATAAAGGTTTACATAGCAAATTAATTTCTCCCTTAATAATTTTTATACAAACTATACTGTGCTTTTAGTTAAAACTAATGCTTCTTACTGCTTATTGCTATTTCTGTGTGACTACCTTTATAGGATACTGTTGCTTTTGTCTCAGAAAAAAGACTAGACGTTTTACCCTCTGACAGCCAATGCACTGCCATGAATCTGCTCCATGCTATTGAAAGAAGTCAGTGCACGAATGCTGTGAGGTTAAGCATTGTATGAGATCAGTTTATTGTATTAATGGTTACAGTGCTAGTATCCAGCTGTTCTGTGTAACAAAATGATATTTTAAAAATAAGACTCAACAAAAATTGGTCTAAAGGCATTGTAACAATGTTTTGCTTATTGAGGCAGTATGTTACTGTAATATGTTATTCCTCTTGGAGATATTGCTACAAACACTCTGTATTTATGTAATGTCCTCAGAGAACAAGTCTGCATGGTTTAACTTCAGTCTCTTATTTAATATGGTAAAGGATTATTATTTAATAAACAAAAGTTCATTGGACTTCCCGTCCAGAGCAAAGAAGAGCAAAGTAATACACGTGAGCACATGGAAACAATTAGTCCAAAGAATTAAGGGACCACAGGAACCTCAGCCTCCATGATTCTGAGACCAGGAGAACTAGATGGTTCCTGGTTACCAGTGCCAACACATTGAAAAGGGGCCTAGATAAGAGAGACATGTAGAATGAAACTCAAAACCATAAACCACACCATAGTTATGGGGCTGTGATAGAGACTGGTGGAACCCTGGGCCCATGGCCCTAAGACGCCTGGAACTGACTTGACTCTGGCCCAACTTTCAGACAAACAATAATAGACAGATCAGTAACACCAGGGAGGCGTGTGCTTTTTATAGCAATCAACCTTTTGAGGTCAGAAGGGCTGCATCTGCCCTGGGGTAAAGCTCAGAAGGCAGGAAGGGATAGGAGAGAGGAAACCAGTAAGGCTAGAAAGAGACCTATTGCATTGTGGGGGGTTATAGTCACTGTCCCAAAAGAGAATGGGTATGAGCGGCTTGATGGAAAACCAATGCGCTCTGTAAGCTTTCACCTACATCACAATTAAGAAAAAAAACAATAATACTAATTTGAAATTTATAACTTTTTCATTTGTGCTAGAGCTGGATGTAGTGTTAATTTGCATATAAATTGGCAAGATTTACCTTTGATTTAAAAACTGATGCCTTTATTACCCATATTTACAAAGTCTTTAGACATAGTTTGTTTCATCCATTTTTGCTGTGCTTTGTTGTTGGAAGTAGGTACAGCTTTGACTAAGATTTGTCAACGTTCCTGGAGCTGTCCTTTGTTGGCTGTTGGCACACACTCAGGCTGTGTCTGTAGCTCTTAACCTTGGCATGGTTTTGTAATGGTACCTGTTTTCCTGGTTGTGCCAAAAGGAATTACTTTCAGATATTAATTTCATTATAATTTCAAGTTATTTTTCTCACTAAGCTATTTCCAGGGACTTTATAAAACATTGTTTTTGGAACTGACTTGTAAAGTTTTATGTACTTTTATTCTGTTGCATAATTCATATAGATAAATCTCTTTCAGTTTTAAAAAAATATTTTTTTGTAACTAAAAAGTGGATTGGAATAATGTGTAATCAGTAGTGTCAAAATAGTGTGTTTAAAAAGGTATTCTGCTGCTTTTCCCTTAGCCTTCACTCAGTGTGCATTGGTTCTCCTCATGCCTGACTCTTTTTTAGAGTTAATTCCAGCCTAGATCCTCCTTTCCCTCTTGCCCCAGACAAGCTCTAATGAGTTCAGAGTGTTGATAGTTGTCCTAGCTGGTTCTGGGCTTCCTTTAAAGCCTTAGCATATTGCTGATGGACCCACATTTTTATCTCTTAAATGAGTAGAATTAATGACTTGTTACACTGTATCATTTAGTTTGAGAACTAAGCAATTACAGTTACTTAAACTAACATTCTGCGTAGCTTAACATTCTTATTAAATGTTAACATTTGCCACCAATAGAGCATTTAGTTATTTACGTCAGTACACTGGTTCTCAATTCCAAAACCAAAGCAAACCGCCTGTCATTCAGTCTGTCCCAACTCAGCGGTAACCCAGTAGGACAGAGTAAAGCTGCTTCGTAGAGTTTCTGAGGCTATATGGGAGCAGTGGTAGATTGGAGCTACTAGTGAGTTCAAACCATGAACCTTTCAGTTAGCAGCATAGCACTTAACCTGCTGTGCCACAAGGTCTCCTTGACTCTTGATAAGGGATCTTTTATCCTCAGGAACATTTGGCAATGCTCAAACCCACCAGCTGCTCCTCGGAAACCCTATACTGGGTCGCTACGTGTCAGAACTCATTCACTGACACTTGGCAACAAGAACAACAGAAACCTTTTTGGTTACCCTAATAAGGTAATAATGCTGGTATCTAATAGGCAAAGGCCAGAGATGCTGCTAAATATCTGCAATTCCTACAGCAAAGAATATCCAAAATGTTATAGTGCTAATATTGAGAAAACGTGTTCTACACGAAACATAATCTTCACTACATTATGGTATTCTGTTAGTCTTTCATATTTTCTGTAGTTTCTAAAATAGAAATGGGGGTAGGCGTTTTTGAAGGGAGAGAAAAAGTCCTCAGTAACTTAACTGTCTTGACAAAACTAGCTGATATTTACCTGAAACAAATCGTGTGAGTTTGTTCATTTATGAAGGAAATGCTGTAAGAGCGCTGAGAACCACTGAGTTGTTTGAGGGTGATCTTTACAGCTGCTAGAGCTGTCCATCCAATCCCAGTTTTATTTAAGAACTCTTGATTCTCTTAAAGAATTATCAAGGACAAGGAAGTTGATCCCGCTAACTAGATTCAAAACAAGTGGCTTATAAATCAGAATGTATATTTGTTTGAAACAAAAAATACAACTAATTGCCAAGTAGATTAGACTTCTTGGCTAATCAAGGCCCAGATAGGAGGTGAGAGTAGAGTCTCTCTGGCAGCTAGTGGCAAAGGCCATTGATGCTGCTGAACACCCCACAGTGCTCAGGATGTGGTGGTTGTTAAATGCCCTTGAGTCGGTTCTGACTCATAGCGACCCTGTATAGGGTTTCCGAGGAGTGGCTGGTAAGTGTGAACTGTCGACCTTGTGGTGCAGTGCATTATCCCACAGCACCACAGCAGGGACTCCCAGTGCCCAGGATAACCCCTCACATAAAGAATTATACAGCCCCAATGCCAGTAGAATGAAGTGAGGAGCCCTCCAATCTTACCAGTCAGTGATAACCCACTTCCTCACCCTCATGTTTGAGCTGCATTTACCCAGAGCCCCACATTGCTTCATCCCTTTCTTTCTCCTTTGCTTTTTCTAGAATTCTGTGGAGCTGGTCTCCTCCTTCCTCAATCCCCAAATGACTAGCATCTTTTCTGTCTATGAGACTAAAAGTTCCTCAGTGGTAGAGAGGGATTCTCTCATATCTTTACATTCTTGGCCTTCCACATAAAACATCAGATCTTACAGGCAGTCGGTACATGTCTGAGTAAAAGATAGCACAAATTGTTCTCTACGCATTTCAATTTTTTTTAAATCAGGAAATTCTTCAGCTCATCCTCAAGCTCACGGAGTGTCAGGTAGCACTGCAGTTGCAGAATGACAGAGGAGAGCCGACACTGTGCTGACTGCAATGTGTACCCGAACGTTGTCAGATTGTTGGATGTCTAGTTTCTTACCACTCTGACTTTTTCTCCCTGCCTCTCTCCTTGCCTCTAGATATCACACTTCAGTGGCTTATTCAACATTCAAAATCTAGAAGAAGCTGAAGTACCTTCTGAAGTCTTCCAGTCCTTCTTGGCTCTGATCCTAGAATTATTGTCCGTTCCTCTGAAGTACTTCCCAGAATACGGTCCTTCCTAAACCCAAGAAATTGCCTTTTTCAGAGTTTATTTCTCATGTGCACTGCTGAAGATGTGTACCCCTAATCCTTCATAAAGAATCAGCTAGAGTTGTCATGATAAAGTCACACACACAACAAAGGCTTCTTATACATACTATCTTAAACAGTGTGTAGAGCTTTTTTTTTTTTTAAGAAAAAACAAAACAAAAACAAAAACACACGCTCTTGACCATCTGAAATCAAGAATATTGCATATTACTGTTCTGGTCTTTCTGGTCTTTCAGATTTTTATATTAATTTTCAGTAAATGTCTATCTATGATATTTAATCGTAGAGTTCAGTAACTTAATACTGACACTGACTTGAGACAGCATGAAGTTTCTAGTGCCACACACAGTATTTAGAAAATCTTTTTAAGCCTGATTCATGTGGGATAAAAACATAATGTTGATCTTATCTCACAAATGCATGTGACATGTATAAAAATTACACCTTAGGAATTAGAAAATGGTCTGCAAAAAGGGGACGGAGACATCAGATCAATGTTGTTATTGGTTCTTTCCTGTGGCGAGATCTTACCTGGTGACATTGAAAACAGTTCTATTTTCTGAGGGTTCTCCATCACCAGAGAGCAGTTGGGGGATATGGGAGGAGCATGCTGTTTTGTATCTGTTCAGATCATTACTTCTGTCTTTTTATTTTCTTTCTTTCTTCCTGGTTCAACACACTTTTATAGGGGGTTGGGAATTGATGATTTTCTTAGAAGCTTTCTTGCATTTAGAGCATTCCAGCCAATATAATAAACCTATGTTAGGCTGTCCGACTTTGTTCCAACACCTGTTTGTTGTTTCTATCTCTAGTCATTCAATCTAGTTAGTTAATTAAAGAGTGCCGCATGACACTCTTTTAATTCCTGACTTTTTATAGCCAGTCATAAAAGTTGACTTTCAGCACAAATGACATGTATAAACAAATACAGATTTTTATTTTTCTCTCTTTCTGATGTAAGATTTGGCACTGTTTTGTCTGGTGCCATTAGACATCTTGATTATTGTGACAACTCTAGACCTGCCTGCTTTATGTAATGTAATCATGCGCAATGTCTACAGGTTGTTTACTAATCAAACAGAACTGAAAACTGATGCTGTTTATTACTGTTTGCTTCTATCATAAAGAGAGGTTTAAAAAGGTACCACGAACCTGTTCCATAGCTTTAGTAATCTCCATATACATAAGGGGGCTAAGTAATACTTGGTTCATGTGTCCATTGTTATCCACCTAGGCCACTCTTGTAGAGGGAACTGTGGATCACCTGTTTACGTGTTGCCTCACGTTGTGTATGATCCTTGTTTCCTTTGTCATGCAGCACTAGTCTGTTGACAGTGCATTCATTTCCAGAGCTTTCCAAACTTAATGAGTGTAGTCAACATTAAGTGCTCTTCATGAATACCAGTTTTCATTAGACTGCCATGGCTTCAAAATACTACGCTGGGTGGCCCAGACACAACTTGGTTTTCTTCAGTCACATTTTTATGAAGAGAATCTGTTTTTAAGTTGTTCTCTTGTTCTTTGAAGCGTGGCACGAACTCTCCTGGTGGGATGATGGTTCTGTACATGAAGAGTTATTTCAGCTTGCTGCTGTAGTTGAACGTAGCTTTATTACAGAGATGGGAACTAGGATATGACTCCATGGGGGAGCGCATAGGTTTGCTCATTGACTTAGAGCACTCCTGACAGTGTTTGTGCCTTCACTGTCTTCAGCTTCTCAAGCCATCCAAACACTGTTACCAGCATATTCCTGTGCATTAACCTCTGCATGTGAAAACTTAACAGTTACTGAACTTTGTAAATATCTGTGCATTCTTTTTTTTTTAAAGGTGGATGCATTTTTTTTTTTTTTTTGTCTGTTAATTGCTCTTCTCAGCTTTATTCAATAAACTTGCATTTTGAGGGTTGTATTGGCAATTTTAACTTAAATGTGCATCATGATGGAAGGTTCTGTCTTTGTTGGAAGGGGATGGGAAGACAACATTACCTGAGGAGGGTCTGTAGACCATGTGATAGAAAAAAACAGCTCAGCTCTCGAGACTGAGGTCTGTGGGCTATTGAAAATAGAAATAAACTTTTAAAATATCCACAGACTTGATACTGTGACTTTTTTACTTTTGGTATAGGCGGTTACTAGTACTGTAAGCTGTTGTGATACACCATATTTATGACTTGGTGGGAAGAGCTACTAAGGCATTTTATACCTCAGTTGTTTTAGAAATCAAAACAAAATACTACTAATAACTGAAATTGCTTTAACATGTCGATTTACTGACTTCATTCAGTGATTTTCTGATAATGGCAGGTTTGTATTTTTACTAGTATGTTGTCTTTTTAAATTTTGGGATCCCTGTATCATATTAATTGTTTATTTTAAGTTCACGTTTCCTCTAATCATCTTCTTCCAGTCTCTAACATTAAAATGGTAACTGCCAGGAACACACATGGACAACTTACTCTTTTCAGTGTCTACCCGTCATATTTGTTCACTACCTGTCTTCCAACACCAAAGTCAGTACTGTGTTTTTATAATAGACTTTAATTTTTTTCTCCTTAAAATACAGGTTTCTTCTTAAATTAAAGGGAGTCGGGGATCACAGTGGATCTGTAGGATAAACCTGGGATTGCGAACCACAAGGTTGGCAATTCGAGCCCACCAGGTGCTCCACAGGAGAAAGTTGAAGCTTTCTGCTCCTGAAACTCATTCACCGCCTCAGAACCCTATGCAGGGTCACTATGAGTCAGAACCAACTTGTAGCACTTAACAACAACAACTAAATGAAAACAGCATATTGTACTTAATTTTATTTTAATTATCCATAGTGTGAATGATGGGATCCCTTATTTGATCATTGTAAGCTGTTAAGAGTTGTTTTTAGTGAACAAATATTGATATTTCCATTAATTCAAATAATGATATTTACTTTTGCCCCAAGGTTAAAGGAAAGATTAGTTTCGACCTTTGTTAAAGATCAAGAACAGCTGAGGAATTTGCACTTGTTTGTATGGGTTGAAATTGTCCTGCTCCAAATTTTTAAAAAAATTTTTAGTAGTCTCTTCTGTTACCAGAATATTTGATCCATTCTTGGGGATAACTTGATTGACATGAACTTCTTAGCTGCTTGCACTGAGAAGTGCCCTCTGTATCGTCATATAAATACTTGTGGCACTCATCCCGGGCTCCCTGCAAGCCTGTGTTTGTTCCATAGATGGGGCTGCCATTCCTATTGGGATCAAGGTGGTGACTCAGCTTGCCTTTTTATTTTCCCCAACAAAATGTTTCATTGTGAATTGAGTGATAGTTTACAAGGCACATCATCAGTTTTGCACTCAACAAATCAGTCGCATTTTGTTTCATTGTAATGCTTGCCATCCTGTCCAAACACCACTGGTTAACAGCATTTACCTTTGTCACCAGTGCCCTTTAAAATTTTTTTTTTTTGGATATACATTGGTTTAAATGTCCAAAGAGCACATTTTGCAAGCCAGTCTCCTGCCCGCAGACACACAGTCTTTCTCAGTCATTGGGCCTGGAGTCAGCTGCTCTGTGTATGCCATAGCCTCTGCTTCCGTCTCCGGTGTCCTGCTTTCCTGCTTAGGCTCCCACGCTTCGTTCATGCTCTTCCTTCTTGATCCACAGGTCCTCTTCCTGGAATGAAAGATTAGTGCCCCCCCCTCCCCTTTTGTTTCACATCTTCTATATTTACGGTTGTGACCATTGCAATGAATTCTGCTAATAATTACTTAACATTTGTATCCTAAAATCCTATCAGCATCATATCCCTTCACCTTCCAGCAGACCCATCTGGACAAGAGGAAAACTATTCAGTGGGGCTTCTGCCATACCCTCCTCATTTTGAAACAGTCTTGAAAGTTTGTAAGCCAGCCACTTTTTGCCTTTATAACCCCCCAGTTTTGGAATCCAGTGTGTCAGGGGCCCATCCCTATTGACCCTGTGTCCTAATAGGCATCCCTGACCCTTGAGGTGAGGACTCCTCCTCTTTTGGTTGTCACCTGCCTTATAATGGAGTATGCTATCTCTCGCACTATAAATATTCATTTCCTCAAAGCTGTTGGAAGACAGGTATGTATATTTGTTAAGAATAGTTCAACTTGGAAATCCCTCTACATACATACATACATACATAGTCTGTTACAGTTACCTATTGTGGCTACACCATATACCATAAATTAACAAACAAATTGATTTTCTACATCATAGGTGGCTAGAAGTCCAAATTCAGATTGTCAGCTGTAGAGGAAGGCTTTTTCTGCCTCCTGGTTCTAGGAGGTTCTGAGCTCAGGGACCCTGGGTCCAAAGGACTAGATCTACTCCTGACTTTCCTTTCTTGGTGGTGGTAGTCCCATCTCCTCTGTTCATGTTTCCTTTTTTCCCTTGTAAGATAAAGGAGATCATCTGAAGAACAGATTTGATACATTAAACACTAAAGATCGAAGACCAGAAGAGTTGTGGGATCAAATAAAGACCAACATACCGGAAGAAAACAAAGAGTCATTAAGAAGACAAGAAAGAAGGAAAAGATCAAAATGGCTGTCAGAAGAGATGCTGAACCTTGCTCTCCAGCAGAGAGATGCTAAAGCAAATGGATGAAATGAGGAGGTACAAGAGCTACACAGAAAAGTTCAAATGTCAGCTCCAGAAGACAAAGTCAAATATTACAACAAAATGTGCAAAGATCTGGAGTCAGAAAACCAAAAGGGAAGAACATAGCATTACTCAAGCTGGTGGAACTGAAGAAAAAGTTAAAGCCTTGACTTTGATTATTGAAGGATGTTGTTGTTGTTAAGTGCCGTTGAGTCCGTTCCAGCCCATAGCGACCCTGTACAGGGTTTCTGAGGCTGTGAATCTTTACGGGA